TGCAGGGAATTGCATTACGACACAATTTCTTTACACATAACACGGAGCGGATAAATGGGTCCGACTGTAATGGCATCTCCAAGGGAGGATTTATTCTTCCTCCTCCCAACCGAGCGAGGACAAGAAACCTCCAATATGGCTTTATTACTTTGCCTTCTGTAAAGAATAGGAGAAAAAAGCGTTGTTTGTTGCGCGGTAATTGCCCAATGAATGCAGCTCGATCGGTCTCTGAACGCCATCGAGTCGCTCCGATTTGGTGAAAGAAACAAACAAGACAGGACTGTTCGCTGGGGGAGGGACTCTGGCTGCTTCCACCAGAGACTGTGCATTGTCTGTCTAATTGCCCCCACCATCTGTTGGACCCATGCTGAGGCCATCTAGTTCATTTCGGTGGCACCCCGGACCATACGACTGAGAAACCCTAATGGTGTCTCTAAAAGGGAACTGCAAATTAAACCCCCTGAAAAGCAGAATTAAGCAGATTTCTTTGCTGAATTCCTCCCAGGCTCAGGGCGGGGCAGGGACGAGGATGACGTTCAGCACAGAAGTCAGCTTGCACGAAGCAGTGGAGTTGGTGAACCCTCAAACTACAGCGTGTTTCGACTGGCTCAGTCTCTCAACAAGTAACCGAACCTCCCCTAAGCCAGGTGAACAGTCAAAGTCATCATACGCTACTCTACCTTCCAGTTCCTGGGGGTTTCTGCAAGCCGAGTTAGTGGTCACCATCTAGTTCCTAGCAGACAGGCACCAAATCAATCGCTCCGAATTGTCTAAACTGGTCTCGCTTTTCTACATCAGGACAGAGACCAGCAGCTGGGTAAGTACAGCAGTGCCTGCATGCTGGGCCTTGTCCAGGTGACAAAAAGGATTGCACTCTTTGGGGTATGTATGTCCACATTGCACAGGGCAGGATACTGCAGACACACCAGGGCTAGCTCAGGTTACGGGAGCATGCTTCTTGGGTAGGATTTTCCCCAGTGGGGCTCTGTACTAACACGGCGAGGAGGCTCCTGGTACCCGAGATCAGTTGGCATCTGGAACTCCTACAGGAGTTAAATATACCGTTGCACTGGGTATTGCATTTAAAAGCTGCAAGATTCGCAACTAGCAAGACAGCGTGGACATCTACTGTTGCATTGGGTATTGTACTTAAAAACTAAGAGAGCAATAAACTGCCATGCTTCAGGATAAGAACTGGCCCCCAAGGTGAGCAGCATAGAAGAAATTCCCCTTGCTGTCGCGTGTCTCGTGCTTCCTGCCAGGGTCCAGGTACTGGCCTCAGCGAAGGACTGGTTTCATCCAGGGCGGCAGTTCCCAACTCTTACAGGAGCTCCAGAGCCAGGACAAAATGCACCAAAGCAAAGCATCCCAACATGCACAGTGAGAGGAGGGGAGGGTTTCTACACACCCAAGGCTGACAAAGCATGCAAGATGTAGGGCATTGCAGCAGCATCGATAATAGCAGGTTTCCTGAGATCTGGGAGCATCTGGGTGTTTAGCAGTCAGTCACTTCTAGGCCAGGAATAGCTCCTTTGTACGATGATAACTGTGCCCTGTCAGAGCTGCTCTCAGAAATTTGGGAATTGCCCCCCTGGATGAAACAAGTTCCCACTGAGGCCAGTACCTGGACTCTGGCAGCGGCCAGACGCAGAAAGCACGAGACACGGGACAGCAAGGGGAATTTCTTCTGTGCTGCTCACCCCAGGGCCAGTTTCTATCCTGAAGCATGGCAGTTTACTGCTCTCTTAGCTTTTAAATACAATGCCCAATGCAATGGTATATGATCACACTGTCTTGCAGGAATTCCAATAAACTCGTGGCTTTGTGACATCCAGTGGCAGCGGGTTCCAGTTTGATGGGGTTGTGTACATGTTACTTTACCCATGAGCTTTTGCATGTTGGGTTTAATGAATGTCCCTCTGTTCTTGGGCTGCATCTCCATTTACCTCTTCTTATACCCATTTTAAATACTCTCTTCCTTCCCTTGCTAATCCATGGTCAGACAGCCTCACTAACTGGTGTTATGACCAGCCCCCTCTGTAAATGCTGCTCCTAGCTCAGACCCTGGCGGTGCCCCTGGCATTTGTTCTGTTCACTATAAATTGACTAGATCAATAATGCTTCTTTGTTTTAAACATCCTTTTATTACTGTGCCGGTTCTCTTGCACATTATTCCTTCACCCCCCCGCCCCGCCCCTTCAAACATCCTTTCGTTACATCCACACATGCAAGCTCACGAGATAATTTGTGCTCCGTGCCTCAGAGCCTTTCTTTTCAAGATCTTTTCAAAGCAAAAAAGTAGTTTCCAGAGAAATGTGGCTCACCTTAAAGGATATTTCATACTGTTCTCCTCCCCATATCTCCAGACCTGCATCATACCCTCCCAGCTCCCAGAACCACTTTCTATCGACTGCAAACAGTCCTCCGGCCATTACAGGAGACCTGGAGGAAAAACCAGACTCCGCATTACAAACATTAAAAGACACAGAGCCCCCGCTCGACATCATTAACAAGGAAAAAAAGATCCCATCAATATTTCTTGCCTCCCGCTCCTGCCAACCAAGGAGCTAAGCTCCCTTTGGAGTGACTAAAAGCCACTACTCGGGCCGCGTGGTTCACTCTCGAGTGACACAAAGCCTGCCCTTACCGACAGGGACTCAGGTTACAGATCCCCTGCAAGAGGCCACAAATCAAACCCGGGTCCCATGGCGGGATTGCCTTTGGGTGCAGAAGTTTGATAAGATGCTGCTGTCCTTTAATGCCGGCAGCAGGGCGATTTGTTAGAAAAATGATTTCTGCAATGCACTGTAATCATCACAATCCCTCTAATTAGCATTCTGCCCCCGTTTTTTTTTTTGAACCAGGGAACAACATACTTTACTAACTGCAGCGTGTTTGCTGTTTTTGGCACAGCGTTGGGGGTGCTAACGTGTCTTTGAAGGATCCTGGTAGTAATTGACTGTATGCATTACGACTTTAATGAAATATTAACTTCTGCAGAGATTAGGTCTGCAAAAAAAACAGCCGGAAAAAGGAGAGTGTTCACAGCCACTGGCCTGATTGAAGCCTATTACCTAACAACATAAGTAACTGAGAGAGACAAAGGGTACCTGACTGCCAACTCGCGACTCCCAGAAGACTGAGGTGTAAGCCAACCCTGTAACAGGGCACCTTTTGTTAGCCAGCTATGACCACGCTGCATTTCAACGACTTACTCGAAAGGGTCACTGGGATCGGGTTTCTGTAACTCGGGTGGAATAGGGATCCGCTTGTAATACATCTCCCAGTCAAATGCCCCCCGCATCGCATCGCCCGCTTGGGTCTCGTAGCCAAAGTGGTCGTGGTCAATCACGTCGATCATCGGGCACACGATCGTCTTGCGGTTCCGGGCGATGCGGTCTGAGGGAAAAGAAAAAAAATCGACAAGACTGTTAGGAGAGCTCCTACCAGGAGCTCCCCTTCACCGCTAATTAGAAAATATTACATTTACGGCTTTAGGTTGGCTCCTCTTAATACATCTTCATGAACCATGGAAGCTGCCTCAATCAGCATGGAGGACTGCTTCATTTTACTGTATTTCTATTGTTCCCCCCAACTGCAGGTGGGCAGTTTGGTGAATATAACAGTCTAGTACGGGCTAGAGCTAGGTGCCATGAGACGCCCGACACACCTCCGCTTTGATCTGGGATATTGCTGGTTCCCAGGAGGCTCCTGCTTCTCTTGGGCAGAGGCACCACCTTGCACCAACTTACCTGGCGTTTCATGCATTTGACATCCCTGAAGCATTTAAGTCATGCCGACTCTACAGAAATATCAGGCGCTAATACTACAGCAAGTGTCACTAAGGTAGCAGAGAGAGAAAAAACCCAAACCTCTCTCAAACCCACCCGCTGATCCAGTGCTGCTTCACGTGGCATGGTACGTACAGAGTGACTTGCACGTACTCAGTCCGTTGTCCCTGTTTTGCCATGAGACCTGGATGGGAACCCTGCTCGCACTGGTCCAAAGCTACCGCGACAGCACACTGTGCCACTTCACCCCAATCACCTTTCCAGTGCCGTGCTTGAATTGGGCAGGAAGCAATTCAGACTAATGGCATAACGAATCTTAGCAGCATCTAGAAATACAGCTGTGCCTCCCCCTCAACCTCTTCTTTCGGCTGAACAGTGCAAGACAGGACTCATTTCTGCCTAAACATCTGGAACTTCTTAAACACTGTTTTTCTTAGCTAGATGTTGCCTTAACTAGGGGTTGGCTTGTTTAAGAGCTGAAGCAGCAGATAATATATTTTAGACTCCATTGCACTTTTGCAACAAAAGCCCTTTTTTATATAAATATAAATAAAATTTAAACGGCATTTCGGCTAATTTTGTTCCCATTCCCTGGGGTGCAGGAAACTGCAAATATTTTATGCTGTGCAGAATTAATACTCAATGCAAACCTGACAGGCTGTGAAAGCAGCAGCATTACCATTTGAGAATCCAGCTGACAAGTCTTCAACTACGTTTTTCTCTCCATGTGCCTACTATTGCTGTGTTTTACTAGACCGCTAAAATTCCCACCTCAAGGGTGGTTGCATTTTAATGGCACAAGTCACTTGCAGCAGGGTTGTGAAGCGCGTGGATTAAAAATGATGTCGAAAACCAACCGCCGTGCAACCTGAAGTTGACTGGATGTTGGAATCAGGCAACTGGCTTTGTGGGCCCAGTCCTAGGAGGATCTCCAGCACCAGTCCTGGCATGGTTCACGCAGAGAAAGGAGATTAAGTGGCATCATCCCGCTCAAGTTGATTGCTGTGCTAAACTAGGCAGCAATTTGGCATGAGTAGGAGCCTCTTTTCAAGGAAGTCCCAGGATCAGCGAAGTAAATGGGCGGCAGGTCAGAACTAAGATGTGCAGGAAACGGGCAGAGGACGTCCTTTGTTTAACAAGTTACGTGCAAAAGGAGTTCTCCTTATGGAGACTGAACACACAGGTTCAGGGCATACGTTCCACCTCTTTGTGCTGCCCGCCCCCCAAATATTTCCCACGTGCCTGCAGGCTATGAAGATACTTTAAACGTATTTCCCCATAAACAGAGTTGAGTGCTTTTCAAAACAAAAAAAAAAAGAGAAACACCAGATCCACTTTGCGCCCAGCCACCAATTCCTCTCCCCAAGCTACAGAGTGACCACTTAAATGGCCTGTTTTTCCAAGAAACTATCAATTATGCAAGATTTCTCTTACAGGGGAGACAGGCAAACACGATCTCTGCTTTTAATTCAACAAAACCAATTTAGGAGGCTATTGGGAGCTTTATGACTTGCACGGAGAAATGCACCGCGCTGGAGGCTACAAGGTGCTGACCGTTCTCCTTGGGTTTTCTTTAGAAAGCCAGGTTTCTGGCTAGTCATTTATTGCCTTCTTCGGATGCTTCTGAAAGAAAAGGGCAGAGACCTGGACAAACAGCAAACCCAACTCTGACGTCTATCAGGCCGACGAGCAACTCAGGACAACATTTCAAGTCGCTTCCTTACCTAGCAGAGGTGGTAGCCAGTTGACGTTGGCCTCGCAGTGAGAGTCCAAGAAGGTGATAACGTCTCCGATTGCCACAGAGGCACCCAGCATTCGCGTTCTTATTAATCCTTCTCTCTTCTTGGTTCGGAGGATCCTCACGCTTGGAAACTGGGCCATATAATCCTCCAGGCGCTTCTTGAGATGTTCTGTGGGTAAAAGAACTGAAAATTCAAGGTGGCAGCAACTGCGCCTTTAAAACGTCTTTAGTCCCTCCCCATGCCTAAAGGCCATTTTTTGGGATACAGTACAGAGCACCTTTTAACTATTGCTTTAACAGGAAAGAGCTCCTAAGCAAGGCAGAAGGGGAACAACAGCATGTATTTCAGCCCACAAAGTTGAAAGTTCACTTGCGATCTGGACTTTTGGAGATGGACGTGAGAACAAGGTAAGTAGTGACTCGATCCTCTAGAACAGCTTAGAGAAAGCCAAAAACCTCACGGGATTAGTTTTCCTCGAATCTTGTCAAGTGCCCAACGTTCACGATCGCTTCTGCACAAGTAGAAAGTGAACCCCTCTCTCCCCCGCCAAGCCCTCCTCTTCTACAAACCGGCAAGAGAAAGGGATGTGGTTAAGTGTGGGCAAGGCACTCGGATGCTCTAGTGCCCGGGGTCGTACAAGCAACTCCAGATGCAGGTATGGGGAGAGGCATTTTCTGGGATGCAGGGAAATCCTCGTGCCACTGCGCACGCTCCTGGCCAGCCCTCAGCTGGGGTATCACGGGCCGTTCTGGTCAATCACCTTCCAGAAACATGAATTCAAAACCAGCCCAGGGGCAGAGAAAGACTACAGGAGCAGTTCTCAACCTTCCTGGACTCAAGACACCCCTCCATCATCTGTGAGCTGAGTGGCACCCAGAGTCCAACACAAATTTAGTGATTACAGATTTATCTGTCCTCTTTGCAGAGGGGCTGGGGGGGATCATTCAGGCAGGGACAAGCCTGAGACTGCATTTATCTATTTAGCTTTATCTGCGTATCTCCTCCTAGATCCTAGCACTCTTCAAAGGATCTGGTGGCACCCCGGGGTGTCCCATCACCCTGCCCGAGAACCACCGGGCTACAGAGATGGACGGCTTCTTGCAGGGAAACTAAACAGGCTTGGCTTGCTCGGCCTAGCAAAAATGAAAAGCAAAGAGGGGATGTGATTGCTATCTATAAATACATCATGGCAGTAAGCCCCAGGGGGAGAAGAGAGCTACTTACACTGAAGGACAAAGTTGGCAGAAGAACAAATGGGTATGAACTGGCCAGGAATAAATTTGGGCTGGAAATGAGGTTTTGGCTGATTAGAAAGGTCTGGAACGACTTCCCGAGGGGAGCTGCGGGTACAACTGCTAGTTCGACGGTGAAAGGGATCATCCGACGTGGCCGCCCGCGACTGCAGGGCGCTGGACCGGAGCCAGAGGGGTCACATCGACTCTCTCTCGGGAGAGAGATGTGTGTACGTTAGCTCCTACCAAGCACTCGGGAGAGGCTTTTATTCCTCCTCTGAGCCCTGGCGTCTTATTTTGGGCAAGCACAGGCAATCATGGGAGCTAATACATACCTTGCATTTCAGCTCTGATGCTGCCATCATCTTCAGTTAGTGCAAACCCTCTTGAGTATTCAGCCCTTAAAGTACTCCTGGTAGCAAAGTACCCCCCCAACCAAAACCTCCTTTTTGGGGCCTGATTTAACACCTCTGGTAGCTTTTCATGGGACCAAGCTCATTTTCATGCTTGTCTGACATAGCTGTACAGCCGGAGCAATTAAAATATATGCACAGGTTGGGTGCCTCAGTAAAACCTTTACTGCTTCATACTTTCTAGCAAAGACTAATTCTTTCTCCTTGCTCTTTTCAAGTCACTTCTGAATAGATCCTCTGCAGCAAGCAGGACTTAATTTTCTCTAATTGAGTGGCTAAATCTTTCAAAAAAGGGACTCTGAGACCAGACAAGATATTTATAGTATAATAGTCCTCATGCAGCACTGAACAGGCAGTAACTGGTTGGTTTTGTTTGCTTTAAATGATTAGCAAAAGAAAAAAAAAACCAACAACTTTTCGTTATAGCACAGACTGATGCGACTACGTTGAGAAAGCAAGCAAAAATCCCCCAGCCCCACTCTACGTTAAGAAAGAAAGCAAAATCCCCAAAGCCAGCCAAACCCACGCTCAAGCTATAAACTCTGCTTGGTCCCAGCTGCCCCGTGCACAGACCAAAGCAACCATCACTGACAGAGCTGACACCAATTTATATAATAATAAAAAGAGGAATGTAAGAGCTATAGGTCTTGACCCTCCCTATACTGACTCATAGGGATCACTGCATTTGCTTCATTACAGGCCCATGGTCATTACTGCATCCCACGAGCTGGACATAAAACGTTAACGAGTCTCAGCAGATCGGTTGGAGCTTCCCAGGAATGCAAGTGTTGAGGGGCCATGAAACCACCTCTCCTTCTCTATGAGAGGATGAAGGAACAGGCCAAATATCTCATGCTAAAAAGCTCTGGTCCTCTTGCTTCTTCCCCGCACGTAATGCCACGCTTTGTACGTGCTGGTGTTTGACGCCTTGCAGGCGCGCTCCACATCGGGACAGGTGCACCAAGGGCGACACAGGCAGCCAGACTAAAGGACACGCACTTCCAGCAGTGCCTACCTGCAAGGGGTCAGTACAAACAGCCACGTTACTCCGACTCTCTTGATGATGCTGGTGGTGACAGCAAGTGGGAGAGCCGAAGAGAAACAGCCGAGGCCTTGCCACGGCTCTGGATGCAGCGTGAAGGCTGCTTTACAAGTAACTATTGCCAGAGATGCGTGGATGATTAGCAGTCATTAATGAAGAGATGAGAATGAAGGGTTCACTCTGCTAGCACAAGACAAAAGGGTGTTGGAGGGGCAGAATTTTTTCCAAGATCCTGTTTTCGCCAAGGCACCAGCAATTTTGCCCCCTAGGTCCTGGTACAGCAGCATCCCAGGGTCGGGTTTTTCAGGGGCGTTATAGTCGGGATAAGCAGCAACGAGCACTTCCTTCCTCCTTATCAAATTGCTCCTATGGAGCAAGATTGCTCCCTAAATGCATCCGGGGGCAATGCAGCAGGTGATGTTATAGGCAGTATTGTCTGCAGAGGTAAGTGAACTTTTAAACAGCCTTCTACTGCTGGCTGTCTGGATAAGGGCCGATTCGAGGAAAAAAGCCCCGTTTAAGATGCTCTCTCTTTGTATTTACTGTCCTCAGCATGTAGCTGGACCTCCCACCTCATTGTTTTGCTTCTAACCATCAAACCGAGTAAATAAAAGAGCAGCTTGGAGCTACAAAAATCATTAGACTGGTCTTTTCTTTGCGAGTCAGAGTCCCTTGGAAAGGTAAAACGTGCAAGAATTCTCCCCCAACAACCAGGACGGATTTACAGCTACCCACAACGGCTCAAGGCTGCCTGGCTGCTAGCACTGCATCGTGCATGGCCAAGTAATGCAAAGCCACACAAGCTAGGGCGATCCTTAACCTGTTGCAGTCGATAGGAGAGGCTCTGAAAAATTAGGAGCCACGGGCCTTCCCGCCCAGGTGGTGCCCGCGCACGGGATGCGGCGCTCCGTCCTCTGCCGAGTGCGAGAGGCAATTCCCCGCGGCTCCATCCAGCCACTACACGATATTTCACTAAACACTAATCCTAAATTTGTGATGAAAGGCAGGAGGAGCTAGCAAGGTGCTCCTGCATGCTTTCCTCTGCTAAAGAAAGGTGACAGCACTTATTAGGCAGTCCTACACCAAACTGAGCTGCTGCTTTGAAAGGGAAAGAACAAAAGGAAACCACGCCCGAGCTGCCGTTTCTCTCACCCCCTCCTCCATCTTCCATCTCTAGCAACATCATTATGACAGCATTTTCAAATTTTTGTTTTTTAAGAAGAAGCCTCAAACAAACACGTTTTTATAAGTCGGCATTAACCGCTACAAAATTTTATGGGGCTTTAAAAAAAATATATTATGGCACCTTGTCAGACTGAGTGATTTTTATTACAAGGGCAATTTTCTTTAATGAAAGTTGTTAGGTAAACTGGATGAATTCCAGCGGCTGCACACAGCGCGCAGAGTAATACAGCCATATAAACGAGTGTAAGATTATCTGTAGATTAAAAAAAATAGGCTGGTAGCAGGCTGACAGGCTTTGTAATAAATATGATATACAATTTATATATTAACATGACTAGTCAGGACTACTTAAATCATTTGTTTGCTTGATTTTGAGCTGTAAATAAAGCTTCGCCCAGAGGAGGAACAGCAGCTCCAATAAAAAGGACTGCTTTCAAATTTCACCCGCTGAAAATCGGGCACAAGAAAGAGGTCTTCTGCTGGCTCAGGTCCGTGTGCATCCTTCATCCCTTCCCTTTCCTGGAAGCACAGCATCCCGGTGCAAGAGCTGCTTCCAAGTGGCACGAGGCTTATTGCAGCACGGACAGCCTTCCCGGGCTGGCCATGACTCCGCTCCACTCGCCGAGCTTGTGGTCAGGATATTGCATCCTTACCCAGTCAAGTGGTGCCTGGCTGTCAGGAGGAGAAAGGGTATTTTGTAATCTAAGTCGCTCTTCAAAGGCCCGACGGGTTCCAGATTCGATGGGTCTTCTTCTCCCAATTTCACTGAAAGAAGAAAATCAGCTCAGTTGGCAAGTAAGGAGAATAAACGCTATTTGTCCTCGTTGCCAACCGTGCCGAGTCGGCATCCGACAGTCGATCTGGGTCCACGTTCCACGTCATGCCGCCACGCAGGATAATGGAGCTATTGCCCTTGCTGACTCCCATGCAAGCCCAGGGGTGGGTCGATAGCTTGTTTTTGCTGCGATGGGAGTTTCTGAGTAAGTTGGTTTCTCACAAAGGAGCCAGAGAAAGAGAGGGTGCAATCCTTCACCTTACAACATGGTTTTAAGCGGCAGTTCTGCCACTGCTTTGACTCAGAAACAGATATTCCCCTCACATGGGCTGCTTTGGAGGTACCAAAGGATTATCTCCATTTTGGGCTCTGCGTGGTTCCAAGCAGCTTGGCAGACCAGAGCAGACCGCTACGTGAAGCTTCGCCAGGTCATCTCACCACAGGCCAGGAGCTGGAGATAGTTGGTATGAAATATCAAACGAATATATGCTCAGAAACAGCACTGAATGATATCAGGTGCA